GTAATAACTCATGCAATGTTATTCAGTTATAAAAACCTATTCATTATTCTTTCATTTTAAAGGCTAAGCTTTCCATTAGTATTCAGTATAGGGAGTTGCGTGTTAAATAATTCAGCTGTTCTTTAAAATAACATTTATCTTAGAAGAACAGAGCTTAGCAGCTGCCCTTCGTCCTTCCCTCTAAAAATCCCAATTCCACACAACTGGACTTTATTCCTTATACAAAATGTGAGCATGGAGGAGTACCAAACAGAAATCAGCCTGAGCCAATGCAGAAGTGTAACAGAGCTCGGGAGGAAAACACAAACCAGAAGATTTTAAATTGTGATACAAGCTTTCTACAGATGCTCAAAAGCTGCCCTGGGCCTTCCTAACTGATGGCCAGTGAGTCTTCATTTAGTTGGCTAAAGTAAGAAAATAATTCCTATATCCTTTCCTGAAGCAAAGGAAAAGTAATAGTTTTAGTCAGCAAGAAAGCTGGTTATTTGGAGATTACTAGCATAAAAATTAGACAGTCTGAGATATTTAGCAAAAGTACAATTTACAAGGGAGACATGAAAAGTAATTTCACTGATGAGTGGGCAGAGGCCAAGAAGAGGCCATTTCTGAGATTTCCATTAAAAACATACAGCTGGTAACCTGCAAGTGTTCTAAAACAAATGGAAGACATTTGTTGTTTTGAAGCAACATTTCAAAAGAAAAGGACTGAAAGCTTCCAATCTTTACACAAGCATTCGGAATCTGTAAGGCAAGCGGCCTTCACCTTTAAACTAACTCACTCTGTGTCTGGGGCATGATCCCAGGGTGAGAACCCTGTCCATGAAGTTTCCTGCTGCTCTGTTTTACTCCTGCTTAGTACTTAACTTCAGGCCCTGCTCTGCCAACCTGTTACAGGTAGAGGAACCAGAAAATTGATCAGATGGAATAGAGCTGATTTAGGCATATGGGAGTTATAGTGATAGGATCTTAAATGGATAGACAATGATGTAAGGAAAAGTGTCAGGGAGAAGCAACAGAGAAGGGAAATCAAAAGGACTGAGGAAATGGGCTGTTGGATAAGGAGAATGTATGAAAAGAAAAACAGTAAAGGAAAGAGTACAAAGGGAAGAAGAGAAGCAATACTAAGAAGATATTTGTCTCTTGCAATGGAGTTGTTAAGAGTAGGATATGTTAATGCAGGAATTACATAAGAACCACACATGACATCAAGCTACCTACAAAGCATTCTTAAATCATAAATGAGGCAAAAATATCTATCACACCTGCTAACCATGCTCTTCTCATGATCTGTGAAAGCTTTCACACTGAGAAGGGAGGAAATCAGAAGGAGATGGGATGCCTCAGCCATTGCCTTTCAACGGTCACTGTGAAATGAAAGCCCTTGTATAACCCAAGCAATAACCAATATAAGTAATTCAAGTAACCAATGAAGTAGTAATAGTAATGCTCAGTTAATCTGATCTTGCAAAATAAACTAACCTGCACAGGCAGAAAACAATCTCCTTACTCCTTAATGTTGTTTTTACCATCATGAATCACAGTGCAAAATAATTTCTGCTTCAGTACAAGAACCTTGCTATTCATAATAAGAATTTAGATAGGAATACTAAGAGAAGTATTTCTCACATCTAACTGAAACCCTAGATTCAGTAGTAAAACTTTTTCACAAATTCCTTTTTATTAAAACATACCAATTTCTCAAAACTGGACTAATAGAGGTACTTGATGCCAAATCTCTTCAAACCAAAGAGAAAAGTGAGAAAACCAAGAGCTCTTAGAGGCTAAAAGCATATTCACAGACAATTCTGGATATTCTGAGTTTTGTTGCAAATCAGAATTAAACCAAACTTCAAAACAACAAAATATCCTTTCTCCATCCACATTGACTCCCAGTATCAGTGCTGCCTGTAGCTAGTGAGGAATATCCACATACTCAGGTCTGGATGCCTTTGTCTGAGACCAGACAACAAGAGGAACACCTCTGAGTAAACCAGGGCAGAGGGGAAGGGAAACTCAGGAAAGACATCCAAACAGTACAAACTAATAAGCTCAACTCTCCTTGTACTAAATAGTTAAGTTCTGAATTCTCTTAATCCACCAAAAATACTGTAAGTGTGGGTAATTTTCCCCAAAGAATTTTCTGCCTGCACATGTTGACATTCTGCTTATCCTCCTCTGCTGCCACTTCATTCTTCTTTGTGATTTTGCTCCAGTTCCTGTCTACATTTGTGTACGTCTCAAAACACACACTGGATTTCAGGGGCTCCCAAAAGATGTTCTTGAATTTCCCTGATCTTCTAAAACACAGCTTCATTTCTGTCTATCCTTTTTTTTCTGCAAGATCAATTTTGTCAACAAATATGGTTCTTAATTATCTTCTGGATATGTCATGGTCTCTTCACTTGAGACAAACAGTTTTTATAATGGTCTCTAACCCTCACAATAAGCAAAGTTCAGGATTTACACCCCAATCAGCAATAGGAGGTTGTTGTTTTCTCTCTGAAAAGACCTAATACATCATGCATTCAACTACAACACAAAAATTATTTCAGTCAGTATTCTCAAGGGGTCATTTATGCACTGTTATACTGTTATTCTTGTATTGTTGCCTATTTATTTATTCCCTCTGTATCACATAACAAAAAAAAACACCTCTATCAGCTTCATCCTTTTCACTTATTCAGCTTTATTGCTTCTTTCCCAAGTAACAGGTCTACAATAATATTTTTCACTCCAAAAATATTACTGTAGTGGAAAACCAGCACAATTATTTATACTTACTCAACTAAGAAAGTCATTACACTGAGAAAACTGCATATTGCTTCATCCAGGAAAATCAGCTTAATAACAGAAGCAACAAACTTACATTCCATAAACTCAGAAACAATATTAAAATTTGAACATTAAATTAAACAAATACATTAAAGATGAATAACGTTTTTAAGCATTTATAAAAGAAAATTGTTTTAGTTGGGTTATAAATTTTTTAGTGTGCTAAGTCAGAAAACACAAGTTCTAGAAACAAAACACATCAGATATTGATTTCCTGTAACAGTGACTAAGAGATACATTGTTCACCAAGTTCATTTCAACTAGGAAACGTAAATTCAAATTTAGCTGTAGTAACTCTGCTTAACTTAACCTCCAATTTTCAAGGAAGTGCTTCTGAGAAACTTACAATTACTTTAGATTCTAACTGTATTCTAAGATATATCATCAGGATTTCTTATGAAAGTGTGAACTCTCTTTACCCTAGTAGTTTGCTTTAAATTGGAAACAGCTATGTATTAAAAAAAAAAAAAGTACATGGCCTAATTGCTTAGTTAGCTGATATAGAACTTGAAATAGAGAGGTTTATCTTATTTCCAGATGGCAGTGTCATCACCCCTTGCTAAAATCTGCAGTATAGGAAGGGAAGAAAACCAGGAAAAATATGTTTCAGCTGGAAAAGTACACACATGTACTTTCCATGAGTAACTGGAATGGTAGAAATATCTGTCAAATTTGAGTTAACTGAAAACAATTCCTTGCTTGATTCAGTCAACACACTGGAGGGAAGGGATGCCATCCAGAAGGAACCTGACAGGCTTGAGGTGGGCTTGTGCAAACATCCAAGTTCAACAAGGCCAAATGCAAGGTCCTGCACCTGGGTCAGGGCAATCTCAAGCACAAACATGAACTGGGTGGAGAATGGATCAAGACTCTCTCCCTGGGGAGAAAGATTTGGGGTGTTTGTGGACGAAAAGCTCGAGAAAAGCTGGCAGTGTGCACTTGCAGCCCATTAGGCCAATCATACCCCGGACTGCATCACAGGAAGCAAGGGCAGCAGGGCAAGGGAGGTGATTCTGGCCCTCTGCTCTCATGACACCCCACCTGGTGTGCTGTGTCCATCTCTGTGAGCCCCAGCATAAGAAAGACATGGACCTATCAGAACAAGCCCAGAGAAGGACCGCTGAGATGATCTCAGGGCTGGAACACCCTCCTACAAAGACAGGCTGATGGAGTTGGGGATGTTTAATCTGCAGAAGAGAAGGCTCCAGGGAGACCTCAGAGCAGCCTTCCAATGTCTAAGATGGACCTACAGAAACAGATGGAGAGGGACTTCTGACAAGGGCATGTATTGACAGGACAAGAGAGAATGGCTTCAAACTGAAAGAAAATAGGTTTAGATTAGATATTTGGAAGAAATTCTTTATTATGAGGGTGGTCAGGCACTGAAACAGTCCAGAGAAGCTGTGGATGCTCATCCCTGGAAGTGTTCCAGGCCAGACTGAATGGGGTAAAAGGTGTCCCTACCCCACCTCTGGCAGAGGACTGAAACTAGATTATCTCTACAGCCCCTTCCGACTAGAACCATCCCACCATCCAATTCACAAGCTAAGAAAAAAGTCAAGATGGATGATTCTACAGCCATGACCTATGCCAATATACAGTACACACTGCAGTGCACCCACTGTACCTGATGCAAGAGGAGGAGTAATAGAATGGATGAAGCCATGCTAGCTTGAGAACCACTTGCATTATTTTTTCTGGTTGTCTGCAGTAACTTCTCCCCAGGCCGCTCATATACCTTTACACTGGCAGACATGGCTCAAGAATTCATCATGTTTCATGTGCACTAAAACCACATGAGTCACAAATTTTAATGAAATTTTAATGTGTGAACATCCTTGAAAAACCAAAATAACATGAGAGCTCAAATCAATGGTTGAAAGATTCAAGGAATGCAAGCAGTCATAGAAAATCCTTCATTATTTAGCAGCACACATGCATAGTACATACTCTAAAAAAATACGAGATGATTCCTGAAGACTACCACCGTTGATTAGTAAGAAATCACACATACTACAAATGAGATAGCAACTAGTCAGAAACAACACTGCAAAGTAATCCTGACCAAAACAAAGATTAGCTAGCTAGTCGATGGATGAGTGGGGAGGGAGAACAAGAATTTCATCTGGAACTAAAGGCAGAAAAAATCCATTCTTTATGCTACTTACTCCTGTAGGCTGAAATATCAGTCCATCCACTTCATGGCTAACTTCTCTAGCAAAGTTTCCTTCCAGGAGCTGTAGAACAAAAGAGAAAGAAAATATTTTTCCATAGAGAAATGCACATCAAAGTGAGTATTGTGGATTATATGCTACTACTGCAATGGTTTGCCAGTAAACAGCTTATTTATGGTTTAACGTTAGAGCTTGGGAAATGCCAACATCAACAAAGTAGCAGTTTCCACAAAGAATACTCAAGGCTAGAAAATCCTTTGTCCAAAAAGAAATACTTGGAAACCAAGATGGTTCTATATACTAGAAAACAAAGAAATATCAATTCTAATACAGGACACTACAGTCATATGCGGGCAAATTAAAAAATCCATTTGCCATTTTAACACACAAGTAGAACTTCAGATTGAACTTATTTCCTGAAAAGTACTTCTGGGAATCATTTGAAATTCATGTTTGACAGACTTCTTAACTAGGGCATAAACCAGCAACACAGCTACATGACTGTAAAACCAACTCTTTGAATTAATTTGTATCTTGAATACAAATATTTAATATTCTATTTAATGCCTTCAAAGCCTGTGAATTCTGTATGGAGGTAAATATACCCATCAAGATGAATTTACCAGAGAAAAACCATCTAATTAAAAAAACTACTGAAAGCAGCTAGTCAACAGTTATGAGAATTGATTATATACTTCCATATTAAATTCTGACTTGCCTAAGGAAAAGCAAATAACCAAGGAGAATTACAACTGACAAATAATAGCAAAAATTAGGAGAATTACCAAAATATCTCTTTATTAATTTCAATTTGTTTTACTGCTGAGATGAAGAATCTGTCCAGAAGTTGTAGATACTTTTAGTAATATTTTAAAAAACTTTGGCGTAAAAGTAACCACAAGTTGACAAAACATAGCAAATACAGAATCAGTAAACCACAGTCAGTTTTTAAAGCATCAGTTTGGCCTGGTCTGCTAATTTTGTACAATTTCCTTTCTAGAGCTCAACTTAATAACCTGCTGACCAAATTATTACTAAATTATTCAAATGAAGTCAATAAAGTACAAAAGGAGCTGAGAACTAACATTTGTATCCTACTAAGGCTGTACAAGTAAAAGCAATGCAATTTTATGTTTTGTGGATCAAAAGCCTGTTGGCTAAATGCTTCAAACAATAATGATTCTACATATTTCACTTAAACCTGTAACTGTTTGCAGAGAATGACAGATAATGCTGCTATAAAAAGCTAACTTTTTCTCTTACCCAGTCATTAGCCTATATTTGTGCCTGTATCTCCAACAAAGAAAGCTTTGACTATTCAACTTTTAGATACAATTTAACTGGAAAAAAACACACAATGAGAGTACTCTCAAGTGGAAAAGTATTTTAAGAGTATTTAATTCTGAGTAAGAAACTATCCAAGGAAACACAATTGCTCAGAAGAGAAAACCCATAATTGAAACTTGAAGCTGCTCCTTGCTGTTATAACCTGTTGCTATCTTGAAATTTACAGCTGAAGTTCACAATGTAATGCATCTGCTACCATATGACTACACAAAATAACAACAAAATAATCCCAAATTCTTTCATAAATCTATTGTTAGTCTTTGCTTTTACTGGACCAATTGGAAAAATATTTAAACACATGTCAAAAAGTTTTAAAAATAGTGGGGTTTTTAAATTTCTACACAAACTAAGTCTTCCATGGATCACTTGCAAGTTACTTAGCAGTTCCAAAACTGACTGGCCAGTCATCTGTAATAAGAGCATGCTTCAAACTTACAGAAATACACAAGACTGATTTCATTAAATTCAGGTACCAAAAAAACCTCTCACTGAATAATGTTAATATTAAGGAATAACAATATTTTAAAAAACCAAGCAAACAAAAACAAAACAAAAACTTCAAACTAGTTAAGACTACTTTTTATAAATTTCTGACCAACTTACCAAGGGCATTAACCAAAGTGGCAAAGAGAGGAATCAATCACCTCTGTTTCTGCCTCTGTTTTTGAAGTTCTTAAGGAAATTACAATTTGAGGAGACAGTTATTTCTGTGTTGGAGCTTACAGAACTGAATTATGTATTCCATCCCAAAATAAAACTTAAGAATACAGAAACAATCTTCAAAGTTGGAGTATGTGCAAAAGCAGAAAATAATTATCATGCTATTTAGCCTGCAGCTCTCTCCACTCTGGTGAACATGTAATTTTAGAAAACTACATTCAAGTACTATTACAACTTGATAAATGGAGAGGAAAATATAAAACAGATTTTTTTTCCATTTCAGAAATATATTCTGATACTTTTCATTCACTACTTAGCCAGAATTACAAAATGTAAAGGAATCTGTCCCATCAAGCTCCCACCCAGTTTCAGAGTCAAACATTCTGTTTGGAGGTCCACAGTGTTTTCACTAAGACAGCTCCTCCCAAGTGTCAATTAGACATCAAAGACAAAAGGATTTTAAATCCAAAGCAAGCCTCAACAGCTAACTACACTTCTTCGTACTCCCAATTATTCTGTTTTCATTCTCATTCAATCAATTACATGTATTTGAATGATAACACTCTCTCTAGAAAGGAATTTTGACTAAAAAGGATTAGCAACTGGGGGAAGGGAATGGAGGAAGGAATGTACATTTTGCCTGGCATTATTCCTACAAAAAACTTTCTTGAGAATTAAACTATGGAAAAGTTGTCTGTGAACAGCAGAATACACAGACATTTAATATTGCAGAAGGTTTGGAATGACATGGAAATGAGCAGAAAAAGAATGTTTGACATACAAGCAAGTATTTTCTACTCTAAAAAAGTTACATTTTTTCAGTTTATGAACTTCAAATGCAAATATCATGGTTCATCTTTTTAAAAACGTTGTTCAACATTCCACATGTTCAAATTTCTAATTAACTTGAACAGAATGGTCTTTTTTAATCGGCGCCATAATAAATGGCACACCTGCTTGACTGGGATGACTGCCATGGATCAGATAAAGTGCAATGCATCTCAATGACATTTTATAAAAGATGGGTAAATGATGCATGTGAACCAGCTCTTCTGGCATTCAATTCCATGTTGCCTCATGGCATCTATTGCCACCTGAGATCCCCTCTGTTCACTCCTTTCAGCTTCCTTCTTCCCTGTGAACACTACAATAAGCCATATACTCATATTACAGTTTATTATTTAAAACTTTTCCTTTCATAGTTTTCAACTAAATTTTAAATTATCCCTACATCTAATAACACTTCTCTAAGCAAAAGGATGGTATAATTGCATGGATTGAGTGGAGCTGTATGATGAGTAACAGGATTTCTCCCTGCTCCTTAACCACTGAGAAGAAGAGCAGCAAAAGAGCACTAATAACTTGCTGAAGCTGATTTTGCCAAAACACTGAACCCAGTCAGCAGTTCTTCTGTGGATAATTGAAAATTCACGCTTTAGAGATCTCTCTGTACTTATACCAACAAAGAAATCACTTTGCTCCTTCAGCAGGAAGGGGAGAAAATTTAGGTGCATACAGATTCCATACAATGCTAGTAGGTTTTCATTAGTGTTTTGGTATTTCTGAGGCAAGACACATAATTCTGTAAATTCACAGATATTACACTATTCATAAAATAAATAAGCCCAGCAGGTACTACTGTGCCTTTTCCTTCCCCTTACCAAAAAGAAAAAAGTCTCATGTAAACACAACATAACGTGAGTTATGAGGATTCTAAAACATAATGATGACTCTGAAAAGTCATACTGAGTTTCTACAAAATAATTTTACTAAGGTCCTTGCACACACATCACAATTATTGATCTCCTGTGTCCAAATGTGAAAATACTGCTAACCATCTTGTCTATATTTCTGATTCAAAGCTGACACTGCTGGCTAGCCTCCTAAAATACTTAAGGATAATGGAAAAAATCCCTTTCAATGTTATAATACAAGATAAATACATGTCCCTTTTCCTTGCTTTTTCAGTTTCAGAACTGCTATATGCTTCACTTCAAGTCAAGACAGAACAATTCTGCCTGCAGTCCCTATGGAGTTTTCCAGATCCACCTTCCACTACTGATCATCTGGACCTGCTCACTCTACAGAGAGCTGTAACAGCTGTACTTCACTCTAAAGCATTAGTTACCAATAAACTATTAATTGAATTGCCAGTCAGCCAGAACATAAAACACCCTCATACATGGGCCTACTGTCATTCCTAACTTCACAGAGCCAGCATCTTCACTGGCTTAGGTTTCAGTCCAACTTAAAGGACCATCCCTTTCTCCAAGGATGACAGCCCTCACCATCAGTCTCAAAGAAATTCTCACATCCTGACAACTGTCGAGTTTTATAAACATGAGCTCATACAGCTCTGTAGATAACCTACTACATAAATCTTCATAAATCCTGTTTTTGAATGACACCAGAAATCCCACAGAATGATTTTTATGCTAAGATCAGTTAAAATAATGCAAAAATAGTCTGGCTCAGATTCATGCCAACTATCACATTTCCCAAAAATACATCAGTCTGTATCAGGCAATGATGGAGCTACCACCCAAGCTACTAACATTCTGAACTCCAGCTTTCCAACAGTATATTTTGAAAAGGAGGCCTCCTGGAAAAGAACTAAGCATGCACTTGGTGGGGTATAAGCTTCCTTTCAGATGATACACAAGCTGCTGTGCAACACTTCAAAATATTATCAAATGCAGCTTAATGTCAAGTGAGGGAAGTGGTCCTCTAAGCTACAGCTATAGCTCCTTCCTCCTCACCAGGATCTTTCCAGTTTCTCCTGTCCTGCAGCATCATGTGTGTCTAAAAGCAGAGAAGGTATCAAGAATGGAACAGCTGCTTTCAGTCTCAAAGCAAAAAATCATCAAATAGCATGTAAGTAACTATGTCATAGAGGAGAAAAGTTTCATATACTATTTAAAAATTAAACGCAGAATCTCAAACTTTCCACAAAAAGAAGTTGGCTAGTTCACATTTTAACAGAAAGAGAACCAAACCAAAGTGTTCAGAGAAGTTTTGACTTTCACTGACTGCATTACTACAAATGCATGGTAAAA